CAAATGTATACTAAGTTATCACACCAGTATATTTATATGAATGCCAACAACAAAAAGCATTACATTTTCTTAAAAGTGTTTTAAATCAGCCATACCTGTCTTAATCCATGCTGGGTCGGATCCTTGTTGCCAAATCAGCCACACGACTGTAACGTCAGCGCTGTGGAGGTGTGCAAATAAAATTGCTTTCAGCTCTGGGTGCAGCAGGGCTGCACCCCAGGATGTTCGTATCTTTTACATTGAAGAGGATCTACTGTACATGTACAACTTTTAACAAGAGTCAATTTGCACCCTAGGGCAGAAATACTTCACCAGTGCGGCGATGGACAAAACAACTTTACGTCATTAAAGATTAAATATTTATCTTGCACCTATAAAAAAATTTATTTATATATTCCCAAATATTTTAATTTTATATGTCAGTTTTTGATAGTTTTTTTAATGTCTTAATCTAGCGCCCTCTATTGGCCAACCACCTCTGATTCTGACCAGTGTGACTTTCATCATTCTAAAATCTGCTCCCAGTTTGGTTTAACATTTAAAGCCTGAATTACCTTTCATAAGCTAGTCAATTAATTACTGGTTTTAAATCTCACACATTTTGCTTCTCTATCATTGGTCCACACAAAGTCTTCTTTCATCTGTCCTGTGGTCTTGGTTTATACTTTCCTCTTGTTCCTGCCTTCTCTGCTTCTGTGGCCTTACTGTTCCACTAAGCTACATAATGCCTATTATGGCTCTTCTTGCTTAGTTGGGTTACAACATTATAATCAAGCTTTTTTCTTATGGATACCTTTTTCAGCTCTGTGAGGATGCACAGAATGTATTTTATAATACTTCTTTTATATATGTATTCACAGCAAAACCTCACAAAGAAACAAACAGATAGCCATGGGAAGGAAAAAATTCAACATGGATCCTAAAAAGGTAAGACCTTAAACTTTGAATTAGTCTTCAAAAACAAAATAATTTTATTTGTATTATTTATTTGATTTATGGAAATAAAGGCAGCATAGTTTTCAAACCAGTCTGTAAGTAAAACTGGTTGTTTTAACAGGGGATCCAGTTTCTTTTGGAAAATGATCTTCTGCAGAACACCCCAGAGGACATCGCACAGTTCCTCTACAAAGGGGAAGGTCTCAACAAGACAGTCATCGGGGACTACTTAGGGGAACGGTAAACTCTCCAGTTTTCCTCCTGCTGTCTTTTTTACCTCCAGTTTTTTTTCTTCCTGTGTTTTTTGTGAGCTTTGGTTGCCAGTGGTCTGACCTATGCACAAATCTCCTGGAATTCTGTGCCCTGAATGTAGCAGGGCTCAGCCAGGAGATAGTATAAATAACAAAAAAAAGAAGAAAACAAAGGCAAAGAGAACATGTGGTTTTTATCTGAAAGAGGTAGAGCTGTCAAAAAACAACAGCCATAGTTATGAAGTTGAAATAGTTGCTCTAGCATGGCTGGAGGATTTAGCTTTTCTCAAAGATCACCAAATTGCACCCTTCTGCATTTTGAAATAGAAATGCACTGAAGTGTTTGACTACATTTTGTTCTGCAATTAAATAAATTAAATCAGTTTATAAGATGCATGACATGTGATATGCATTTTTCTTCCTAGTGATGACTTTAACATCAAGGTCCTTCAGGCATTTGTGGAGCTTCATGAATTTGCAGACCTCAACCTTGTTCAAGCCTTAAGGTGAGACAATCAAGTACTGCCCTTTACTTCAATTCGTCCATTCAGTATTCTTATTGTTTGTTGGATATATACTTTACAGTTAGAACCCTTAATCAAGTGAACAATTATCTAAAAACAATTAGAGACTCCAGAGGACTCAAAGAAAAAAAAAGTTTAAAATCCTTTTTCATGTTACTCAGGAAATTGGCCAAAATAAGATCAAATCATATTTTTAGTGAGGAATGTGACCATATCTCTATACCTTTAATTACCATTTGTATATGTATAAATTTTAAGGTAATAAAGATTTAATGTGGCACACAAATACCAAGTGGTTAATAATTATAAGGTCAAAGGAAAATGAGAAAGCTAACATTTGTTAAGCCTTTGCTTTATTTGCAGCTACAAGTTTGTCTTCACTGTTAGGATAATTGTCATTGATGATGTGTGAGTTTATTACACCTTAATATTAGCTGCCTGTTGTGTGTCAGAACTGATGTTTTCTCCAGTAGTTTATCTAATTAGGCCAGTTCCTTGATCCGGCTATATACAGTTATAATCTTCATTCTGCATGTGGCAAAGATTTGGGAATGGAGTGAAGGTGGTGTCCTTGATCTAAGAACAAAGTGTAATATTCTGATATGGCTGAAGCCATGGATGTCTACTTATCTGCAAACGTGAATGATGTAATGATGTGATAATGTGGCAGATTGGAGTTGTATAAAATGCTTCTTTAACTGTTTATCTGGGCCGCTTCAAGAGTTCTGAGCCCAGTTGGTAAGCAGCTGCCTTCTGTAGCTTTAAGCAACTTCTCTGATTTGAGTAAGATTACAATTTCTATCCAAATCTGTTGTCATGTCTCATGATTATTTAATACATACACATTATGAAGTGTTAGAGCTTGTCCCGAGTGATCTCTTTTCAGTAAAAAGAACCGGAGAGAGAAAGCTTCAAGGTGTAAACACAAAGCTTACCATTAATATTACCAACTCACACAAAGGCTAAAGCTCAGTCAGATTAGAAGGAGGACATCTCTAAAGGATAAGTTAAAGATTTTACAACAAACTTTTTAAAGGGATTGAGTTTCCTACTAGTTAACCCTGTTTTTTGCTACATCGATGTTCCCATTGGTTCAGAAAAGCATCACTCTCCACAGAGCACAATGCCACCAACAGCATGTTTCACCAGGGGATTGTGTTGACGGTTGTATGCTGGTCATCATGCATAGCATTTTGGCATATACACTAAAAAGTGCAGTTATTATCAAATTTCTCAATACTGATTTTTTTTTTGTTTCCTAAATGCTAAATCTGAATAATCCTCTTTGTGGTTATGCTACACTCTTGAAGTATTATGATGATGGATTGATCAGTGTTTGGTAAAATATTCATAGCCTTGTAGATTTTGATGTCTATGTCACATGTTCTCCAGTCTTCTGTTTGTTCACTAATGTTCTCTATAACAAACGTTCTTGGACTTCACAGACCAGTTACATTTCTACTAGATTTTATTAACTGTTTTCCAATGGCAAGTGGTTGTTCTTATTTTGGGGTATTCCATTGAAAGGCTCAACCTTTTTTTCCTCACTTTGTTTTATAGAGATTTTTTTAAATTGTGTCATTTTCTTTCCACATTAAAAATAAGCAGAACTTTATGTTGGTCTGCTACAGAAGACATTGGCTGCCTTTTTATGAGGCTGTAGTGAGTTCAATAAATGTCTGAGATGCTTTACAAGTCATCATGTTTCCAAATGTGTCCTCTGAAAGCTCATTTTTATATTATGTAAATAAAGGCTTCAGTTTGATTTGTAACTGAACAAAATTCTGCAAAGAAAACAGCTCTTGTTGATTCCGTCTCATCTTGATATTATATTTAGATAATAAGATGATAAGATCATGATGTTTCTGCTGTTGCAGGCAGTTTCTGTGGAGCTTCAGACTTCCTGGCGAAGCCCAAAAGATTGATCGCATGATGGAGGCATTTGCCTCCAGGTACTGCCAGTGCAATCCTGGTGTCTTCCAGTCCACAGGTACATACACACCTCAGCTTCCTCATGACTCAGTCTTGATGGATAAGACCTTTGCACAACTAGATCAATTACTTTGAGTGTTTTGTTGAATTTACAGCGGCCATAGCTTATCTTTTAACTTTTCAAAAATACCTCGAAATCCACTTTCAGAAAAATTCATTATTCTTATTTCTCCTTTATTACTTCATTAGAGATAAATGAACAATTGTCAGATCTTCAGATTAAGTTAACATGTTGCTCTATAAGTGGCTTTCTCCCTGACCTCTGTGTAATCAGCATCTGTGTCTCCAGCAGTTATAGCGATATTGATCTCTGCTCAGTGGCGGTCATTAGTGCAGTTTTGTCTTGTTGCACCCGTCTACAGCCTCCTGTGTTCAGGTCGCAGCCCAGGTCCTTAGTATTGATGCAGCAACACACCCTGGCTAAGTTATTGGTCATTTGGTGAGAACATAGTGACTAGCATTATAAATCACACCTCAGAGGATGTGGACAGAGGCTGTCTGGATGGATGAGGTAGAGGAAACTGTGCAGGAGTTATGATCTGTCTCCAATTGTGGTGTATGGGTTCAAATCCCCCTTCTGACACCAAATGTGAGGGATTTGCACAAACCACCTAGAAAACCACTGAAATCTTTTTAAAAGGGTCGTAATCTATTTAAAAAAAAGTGTTCAAAAAAACATAAACTGGGCCAAAAACAGATTTCAATTCAGGTACTAACATAAAGAACTCAAGCACAAACTGACCTATCAAACAAGACATGAGGGAAACTTAAATAGGTGCTGATCAGACCACTGTTGACACACAATGGGGATAACTGACAATCTAACAAACAAATGAACTTAATTACACAGAAAAATACTGGCCAGACACCAAGTACTTTTTAAATTTAACAAATTAACAAAACTACCCAAAACAAAGAATATCTAAACAAATGATAAACAAAATTTCCTTCCTATTACAACAAATATTGTGACCTGCTGACTAGCCTGCTACAGTAAAACTAATTATGAAGAAAGCTGGAGCTCATTGCAACCATCAAGCAGTAGATCCAAATTAAAATGGCAACTCAAAGAAAAATAAATGAATTAATTGCATTTTAACCAAAATATAACAAACTGACAAAGTTAACTAAATGTGTGCACTGCAAATAGCTAACTAAATGTCAGGCTAATGAAAATATCTGAAATGTGCAACCCATTTTGAAAATGAAAAATATAAAATTTACCACACAGCTTTAGAGTGTGGCAGCAGGCGTCACATACCTCTTTCCAACTGGCTGAAAAAAAAAAAATTTAATCCTGGGAACAATCGGGTTTCAGAGACAGTGGGAAGATGGGAAGAGCTAACTAACCTGTGTCGACCTTGGCCAAGTTGCTTGTCACTAAGCAAGCAAATTGGGTTAAACTTGCCTTCAATTGGCTCGGCTCTGATCAGCATACAGTGGGAACACCAGACCCGGGTCGACCTGCTAATTTACATGATGCCCTTAAACACAACATTCCTACGTCCACACAAGCCAGTCGCGTCTGATCTAACAAGTCAAAAAAACTCTGCTTACATTCCATAAACATGGCGAAGCACTGGTAAGAGGGATTTGGAGGGACTGAATAACAAAATAATACAGCACACTTTATATGGGTCGGCTCTCTTTCATGTTGCTGAAACTGTTTGAAGGCGATTTTAACCCGGGTCACTTGCCTAGTCGTTTCACACGGGTCGACACAGGTCAGTGAGCTGATTGATTTTTAGACCATTGGGAAAGAGGTGTAAGAAGCCGTACAAATGTTTACAGAATAACAATCGAATTAACACAACAGAAACTGAATCCTAATTTCTTGTTGCTGGCCACTGCAGGAGGTTAGAAAAAATGTACATATTTATGAAGATATCTGTTTTTATAAACAATTTATTAAAAAAAACTACCTTTGTGGCATAATGCCTTACTGAGGACAAGCTGAGGACAGGCCTAATAGCGATGTTAATAAAAACTGATGAAAGGTGCTCCAGCATTTACTAAATGTATAAGGATTCTGCCATTAACACACTCATTAGAAGTTCTATATTCTAATATTTAGTAGAAATAATTTTCATTATAGCAGTGCTTCTTTTTTCAAGCGGTAGTCTCTTCCAGAGGCAAGACAAGTCCCTGAAACTGTCCAATTTCCTCCACAGACACTTGCTACGTCCTCTCATTTGCCATTATTATGCTGAACACCAGCCTTCACAACCCTAACGTCAGAGATAAACCCCCAGTGGAGCGCTTCATCTCCATGAACAGAGGGATCAATGAGGGAGGAGATCTCCCAGAGGAGCTACTCAGGGTGAGGATGCTGACCTGGTTGGTATAACAGGACATATTTACCCCTTGGTAAAGTGGTGAAGTGTTTACCTTTAGTGTTGATGCTGTTTTTTTTTATTTTTCATTTGTTCATTTTTGTCACTATTTACCAGGCAAATAATTTATCCTATTCCTTAATTAATTTTTTTAGGTTATGGTAAAAGAATCCACCCACTTTCAGATGCATTGTTTAAGATTTACCAGGATCTTTTGAAACTGAAATAGTTTTAAAACGTCTTTGTAACTCTTCCCAGATTAATTGGGTGGCAGCAATTGCTTTGCAGATGTTATTGCTGATGTCTTTCCTCTTTGGCTTTGAGTTAAAATACACTTCAGTGCTTCAGAGTGGCAAAATTCTCCTACTTGCTGAAAACATAGAACCTGGTAGAGACAAGGATCCTTAGTGAAGTTCTCTGTTAATCCAGCAAATCTGTGATTATAAGACACATTAAGATAAACTAATCTATAAACTTTTTGCACCACTGTATATCTGAATCTATTAAAGAAAAAATATTTTCCAACTGCCTGAGTTTTTAATTTAAAGCTCCTTTTCATGATCATAGTTGTTGTTTTGAGGTTTGGGGAATGCTTGCTGGTGCTGTAATTTGGATGTAAACTATATCCCTGCATTTCTCTTTTCCTGTGGTAGAATCTCTACGACAGCATCAAGAGTGAACCCTTTAAGATCCCGGAGGATGACGGAAATGACCTGACACACACGTTCTTCAACCCAGACAGAGAAGGATGGCTGCTTAAATTGGGTTAGTGTGAGTCTCCCTCCATTCAGCTGCAGGGACAGTGTGAGACATCCTGGATGAATTAATTTGTTTACTCTTGCATTTTATTTGCCTTACAGCTGGGGATTTTTTCTTTTTTTTCTCCTAACAAAGGCTTAAACTGCAAAGTGTTGTCACGCTAAGCGGAAGTGAAGTGTTACAGCATGGTGCACAGACCTAATGGCAGCAAAAGCTGTTTAAAAGGAGCTGTAATGATTAGCTTATTATTTTTGATGAAAAGAACTGTAAAGTAGTGATGTGAAAGACTGAACGTATAATTTTAGATGGTGTGACGTCACATACCATCTCTCTGCGTTGTTCTCCAGCCTCATTTTTAAAGGCTGGCCCGGCCCCTCCCTGCCCAGAGAGAGTTGCTTAGCGTACGGACAAAATGGCAGTGAGGGCGTCCAGCAGATCGAAAACATTTACCTGAGGACGACCATTTGCCAAAATGAAGTTCTTTTTCTAACAGCATGATAAAGTTACACATTACTCAATCCTTTATTGGACACGTTCCTCTGAAAGGTGATATTCTATTTATCCTTTGCAAATATATGCATCCTAGGCGACAGGCAATGGAGGAGGGGTGAAATGGTCTGGCTAAGAAATGTTTCCAGATGAGTGGTCAGAATAACAGTAAACCAAGAAGGAAGGCATCATAGTGACATGGCTCATTGATGTGTGGATGACGAGATGATCACAATACTTAATGAAGGTTTAAAAGATAGCTTTTAAGATACAATTATACATTTCAGTCCACAATTTTAAATCAGAGAGGTGATTGGGCCCAGTATTTTAGACACTTTACATAGTTTTATGTAAACATCTTAACATATCCATAATCTTAAACTAATACTATTTCTGGCTGGCTTCCATATTTGTAGGCTGTTGCTCTTTGCCAACATGAAACACCAAATTCTGTGCTTTGCTTTGGTAATTCTCATATAATCTGCCCAGGCACCAGAAAGTAAACAGGTTACACACTAAAGTAGTTCTAGACCCTACCCTTTGGGTTTGAAAGAAGAAAAAACTTGATGAAGTTGTTGATGGAGGGGACCGATGGTTTATGAATAGAATAGAATACAATACAATAGAAAAATCCCTAAATTGTCCCACAATGGGGAAATTCTGGATTTTAGAGCAGCAAAAAGATAATAGAAAAAATGGTCACACAAATTTGGTACAAGAATAACATACTAATGAAGAGTTAAAAAATAAACAAATAAAAGACTGTTGTAAAGTATTTTAACAATATAAATACTGTGCACCTGCAGAATAAATAACTAATATATAGCTGTGGACACTTTTATAGTAATGGATATTTCAAAAATTGCAGCAACATCAGAGATGTACAAATTACAGTAGCATGTTATTTAACTGACTAAGGTAAAAACTGGGCAAAATCAGCATGAATGTAAGAACTTATTGAGGTTGTTGGGAGCATTGATGGTTATAGAGTCTTACAGCTGCTGGAAGGAAGGATCTGTGATAACGCTCCCTGATGCATTTAGGGTGCAGCAGTCTGTCACTATAGGAGCTGTCCAGTTCTGCAACAGCTTCATGAATGGGGTGGGAAACATTATCCAACAGAGATGTTAATTTAGTTAGGATCCTGCAAGTAACATCCCCACAATGGGGAATTTTACTTACAGTACATCTTGGTTGACAGATGAGAAGGATAATGGTTAATTTATAGTAGATTTTTGTACCTTAAAGGAAATGTTTACTGATTTTTTTTTTTTTTCAAATGCTGCTTATAAATGATTGATGTTTTATTTAAGCTGTTTTTTCAGTTGGTATTAAAACCAGGGTTTGCTTAGAAGCTGAATTGTTACTTACAAAGTGAATTGTGATAATAGAAAAACATTGATATTTTTTCCTGTAGCCCAGCTCTAGTACCACTTGATTATGTTGGAGAAATAAGAATATAAAAAGTTTTTTTCCTCCTCATTTATAACTGTAAGGTTTTATTTGAGCATTGTAAAGTTAAATGTGTCGGGTTAAATCCATACTTTCCCTAAAACAATGGCAGCTGGAAGATGTAGCAACTACAGTAGTAGAGCATCTTTCAGACTGATAAGCTGTGCAAACAGATGGAAAAAAAAAAAGAAAGAAAGATTTTAAAAAGCATGCTAGGACAATTCCCCAAATTATCTTTGGTGAATATGCTCAAACTCAGGAGAAAGCATATTTCTGAATCTGAAACAAAATGTGCTGCTTACATGTTCTTGTGCTAAATGAGAATTAGTCCCTTCTTCTTTGATTTGCAACTTTTACTTTCGTATAAGCTGCATGTTTCAAAGCGTGGGGAAAAAAGTAGCGGCTTATAGTCCATAAAGTAGGGTGATTTTGTTCTAGGTAGTAAACATTTAATTTTTCTTTACTTGAAGAAGTAAGAGGAGATGTTTTCAAAAAGGTTGTGTCATACACAAAATGATAAGATCAGGAAAGAACCAGTGCTTGTCTAATTAAACAACCAACAAGTTGCTTAAATACATCAATGTTACTGCATGTTGGGAGCCTATATTGCATGTATTCAGGGTAGATTCATGACTTTAAGTGATGTCTGAATATTATTCCTAACGCCTCATGGCTTCATGTGTCCTCCTAGTCGTCGTTGTTACGTTCTTAAATTACATAACTATTTAATCATGTCGGGTATTTTAGACCAATTTTTATAGCCAAATATAAATAATATTTAGTAGCCAGGGTGCAGTTTTCTCTTGGGTTAAGAGGCAAACTCACTGCAGGTGGTTTGTTTTATTGCCCCATACATGCACCTGGTTTCGACCTGCACATTCCTCTAACTCTGTGTAATGTCTCTGAGGTCTTGTTCTGCTGGTGAGCTCAAATACAAACTGCCCCAGTGTGGTTCACAGACCTAACGTGATTATAATAGGGTACAGCTCCTCCCCGGAGTCATTTCCCAGCACCAGTTTGGACAATGATGCTCCTAATTTAACTCTCTAAAAATAAACCCTGGAGGATGCAGAGGAATAAATGCCTTCTTTTTGGTGGAAATTTCTGTGTAAAGCGGAAATTTGTCCATGCTAATTCAACAGCCAGACTTTATTCATACATAAGGCAGCAAATAACCTTTCAAATTATGTGTGGCCCTGTGGAGGCTCAGGGGATGGAAATGCTGCAGGGAAATCTAGAAAGTTTAGTCAGTGCAAACAATATTACAGGAAGCCCCAGATTTTGATTAGTATTTTTTTTTATATAACAGGTGCACTGATGTATGAAGACATTCATAAGGGCTCTGGTATTAGAGCTTCCGTTTTGTTTTTATTTTATATTTCTGCAGTTTTTTTCTGCTGATGTTGCCTGAGGCTGAAATCAACTTCAACCCGCCATGTTTGACTTTTGTTCTCTCTCTCCCTTTTTTTGTGTGCCAAAAATTAACACATGCAATGACAAACTTGCTGTGGGGTTTTGGTTTCTTTGTCAAAGTGTTTGCTGGTGTGTGCTCCTCTAGGCAAGTTTTTTTTTTTTTTTATGCGACGTTGGGTTCATTTAAGCCTCTAGATGTCCACCTCCATCAAAAGAGATTATATCTTTTGTCTCTGAAAAATAAAGAAAGAAACAAATAAGCAAAGTCAGTACCAATTTAAGATGCTTGAGTCATTGTTTGACTTTATTGTAAAGTTTGGAAAGTTTCCACATAAAACTGAATATTAGCTTTTCAAAGCCAGTTGACTACAGTTTTCTCCTTGTTGTTTGGTAAGAAGTCTTTTTCTATGCAGCAGTGATATTGACACAGTTTATCTCCCTAACACTAAACGCCAAAGAGTTCTGAGAAAATTACAATTTTTTTTAAACATTAAATGATTTTGTAACCTTATTAATAACTAACTATGATTTCCCCTCTAGGTGTGTTGTACTCTTTGTAAGGCTGAGCACTAACCTTTACTTTTGTTTCAAGAACAAGCATCCTTTATCTCCTTAATGCATCTAAAGGAAAACAGGCACATCATTTGTGTATGGAATTGAAAGGAAGTTATTCAATTGAAGAAGCAAATCAATTTGTAGTATTAATCTAATTGTAGGGAAGAATAGGAGAAAAAATAGGTGGGCCTCATTAGAGCGACATATGCTGCTCTTTGTCCTTAGAGAGACAGCCAGTCTGTTTAGTGCCATTGTCTCACTTCCCGTTTCCTCTGTCTCTTCCTGTCAGGGGGTCGCGTGAAAACCTGGAAGAGAAGGTGGTTCATCCTGACGGACAACTGCCTCTATTACTTCGAATACACAACAGTAAGTCCTCCTCTGAGAGCACAAACTACGTGTTGAGTTCAGGAATTGTATTTTGAATTTCATTTAAAAGCTTCCAGCTCACTACACTCACTTCTGTGGTAATGATGTTTGGTCTTTAAAGTAAGTAACTGAAATTTGGCGGGACACTACTCCAGATTTGAACTTTTTAACATTCTGATTAGGTGTGCAAGTTTTCAATTTGTGAATTAATCTCAATTTTATATCTTTAAATATCTTATAGAATAACTATTAATTGATAGGCTGCCATTTTCTGAAACACCTTAGTTTTCTCTCATATCAAGCAGATCTTTCCTTAGTAAGAAGGGACAATAAAAAAAATTGTACATTATTATATATTGGCAATTTATTGTGAGAGCTTTAATAAACTCTGACATACTGCTAAGAGAGACATGCTGTTAGCAGAGCTTTTAAACGGTCGGCTCTGGTTGCTCTCAGAGGAATGTTAAAACTTGTCTCATGAAGTCCATTAGCACTCAAAAGAGTTCCCCATCTACTGTGATAATTGCTAGCATTTCTTTTTCTATCATGTTAGAAGCATTATGCATGATACCATCCACTCGTCTATAATCACATCCTCACCTTCCGAACACAGGAGAGAGGGTTATGCTGCTCCACCATGCAGCAAATTTAAATAGGCGCTATTTAGGCAATCACTTAAGAAGTTTATCTAGTGTTTATATTTACAAGCAGAAGAGCATAAAGTTGATTCTGCATCCTTCTCACAATTAAACAGTGTAAATTATCCCAGATCAGACTTTTAATGTTTCTTCTTTTCTCTCTCTTCTCTGGCATTAAATCACCATAAAACACAAGTAAGGTTCTTAGCAGATGACAGCCACACTACAACACATACCAAAAATCCTTTAAAGAGAAAGTTATCAGTTAACAGGATTGAAACAAATTATAACAAACTATCTACCGACTTCTAATATAAAGTGGATTGTTTACATCTCTAATTTTGTCACATTGTAACCCCAAACTTCAACGTGTTTTATGTGACTGACCAACATCACTTAAGTGTATATATATATATATATATATATATATATATATATATATAAATAATAAAAAATAGTCAGTAATCTTTGAAAACATATTTTCAAGTCTAGTTACAGATTCTCCATTGTTTTTAAGTCTAAAGTTTAACAGGGCAATCATAGCATGAAATATGCTGTCATCTGAAACATTGCATTATATGTTCAGGGTCAGTCCTTGATTTGAAGGAGAAACTCCACCCCAGTCTTCTGCCACCCTCAACGGATTTTATAGGATTGCCCTCCATCCATTCTCCCAATCAACTATGACCACCTTTCCTGCCCTTGCTTAAGAAAAGCAGCGATCTACCTTTAGGGTTTGCCATGGAGATCTGTGTTCAGGCTTGCATCACTGGACCTTGCATTTCTTCTTCTCACTGGACAGATATGTGGGGTGCACAAAGAATGGCTTACTTGTGGATCTTTGATACTTATCTAAAAGTACCGTGGGCATCTTACCTGAAAAGTTCAATGTCTGGCTTAAAATGATTGATTTATTACCAGGCTTCTTTAGAACTTAATGACATTTTTCTGAGGTATTCCACCTATATGATAAGGTTTGTTTGAATCAGGGAATTATCTAGTAGTGTGATGACTTCAGATGCCTGGTGTTGGACGCCTCTGTTCCCCCTCCTCCACACTTTTTTAGGAAATATAATGATTTTTTTCCCTTTGCTTTCCACCTTTAGATGAGGAATTATGCCCATATGTAAGGTTTAAATGTTAATAATTCTTTTCTCTATGTTGCTATCTGCCTGATGTCAGCCCACTCTTTGTCTGTATGGGAGGATGTTTTATAAGCGGTTGTGTGTACTAACTGCTACATCAGCAGTGTCCCCTACATACCACGGTATTATCCTTCAGGACACTATGATTATATCCTGTCCTCTGTCTGACTGCTGGAAGTTCGCATTATCCACCTCGATATCTGAGCAGGAAGGACACGTGAAGCAGAGAACATGAGGCTGATTTGAGACCCAGATAATCATATCAAACTGGATTTCTTCCCTGTTTTTCATCTTAATGTCATTTTTACATTAAGAAATGACATTAAGAATCTTTGTTTTTGATCTTGGATTATTAATTTTGATGAAATGTTCTATTCTCTACTCTTGTTTGGTTCACTTCCTCTCTCTTTTATTGACCTTCTATAGGACAAAGAGCCCCGTGGGATCATCCCACTTGAGAACCTTAGCATCAGGGAAGTTGAGGAACCCAGGAAACCTGTGAGTCCTATCTACCTCTTGGATAACAATTGTGGTTTCTGAAAAAAAATCCTTGGCAAAAGCTAATTATCAGCTTTTTTCTGTTGCAACAGAACTGTTTCGAGTTATATAACCCTAATCATAAGGGCCAGGTGATCAAAGCCTGTAAGACTGAGGCAGATGGACGTGTTGTCGAGGGCAACCATGTGGTCTACAGGATATCAGCGCCTACGCCTGAAGAGAAGGAGGAGTGGATAAAATCTATCAAGTGAGTTTCTTTCTGATATTGTTATAATCAACCTCAAAGATAATCATCTTTAAATTTTATTCTAGAAAATGTTGATTACTTCAGGGCAGGGGACTGTGCTTACAGGCTTCTTACACAAAATCTTCAAAGTTATCTGGTAAAAAATGACATTACACAATATAGGAATAAGCTCTATTTCAACATTTCTTTAATTTCACTTACCGGTATGTTAGTCATCTACAAGCTGCTGATAGTTTCAAGGTTGGACATTTTTTTTAGTATCTCCTGCAAATCTCTGATTTTGTTCCTTTTTCAGTTAGGCCGTATTACCCATTAATCCTGACTGATGAAAAAACTAATGAAGCTTATCCTGTTTTCTGGATGTTTGATTTAACTCAGAATAGTTTGCTGTCTTTAAAGTGGACACAAACTGCAGGCAAAGAGATGCTTGTAAAGTGCACTGAGAAAAGATGCATGGACAGTGCAGCCTTGTATTGCCTTTTTTCATTTTGTCACTCTTCTAACTTCAGTATGTTTTATGGGAAATTTATGTTATAGACTACAGAAACCAAGAGGTATATTTTTGTAAAGTAAAAAGAAAATTAGATCGAATAACCATTCTTTATGGCAAATTAGCTCAGTTTCAGACAAATGATACATTTTTAAGATTCCCAGAAAATTCCTAATTTTACTGACTACGCCATTCTAACACATTTCTATGCTTTGATCTGAATAATCTGCTGTAACTTTGTTTATTTAGTCGTCGTCCTGCTAGAAGGTGAACCCCCACCCCAATCTTAAGTCTTCTGCATCCTCTTACAGCAGATTTTTTTCCCATTTATCTCGCTCTATCTTCACATCTTAACACATTGGGATGATATTCAGTGTTACTTGTCCACAACCCTTAGAGTTTAAAATCAAAGCTAAGTATTAAACCTGGCAGAGCACCTTTTTCGGTGTGTTCTTCCCTACATCTTGCATGCTAAACTGCGAAGGTGAGTTTTTATGTCCTTCTTTCATCAGTGGTTTTAGTTTTTGCAACTATTTGATGAAAGCCACCTGAGCAGTGGACTTCTGCAGCTCCTTCCGTGGAGTGAAGTCAGACAGGTTGCTTTGTGCTGTAATACTCTGCAGTTCCTCATCCTCTTGTGCACAAACCATTAAAGATAACCTATCTGTATACTATGAAGTGATAGTGACTCTTTATGGCAGAGTGGGGTGGAACCCAGCAAAGCCATTCCAAACTAGGTTTGATGCTTTCGCAACCTCAAAGAGTTACAAGCAGCATCTTCACCAGAGGGGTCCAGAAGACTCTGGTCCTGGGGAGATGAAAGCGTTTTTATGGAAAGCGTTATAAAAAAATATCCGTTCTTAGGAAAAAAATTATTGGATTAGAAACAAAGTGTCTGTTTGTTGTGGGTCACGAGTACACAGTTCCAGATTATAGTGAAACATCATTCATTCATTTCCTCAATTTTGATGTTCCATTAGATATGTTAGCTAGTTAATGACAGAAACGGGCAGTGGAAATGTCAGTAATCATGCTGCCCTTGCTTGTGCTTGATCACTCCACAGTAGTCATTGTTTCATTAGAAATGACAATTGGCTTTATGAAACAAGGGCACAGTCATGGTTTGCAGCATGTTTCTTGATCATGTGGCATTACAAAGGGAATCAGAGATAAGCACAGTGGGGGGTTTAGCCTCTTCTTGCTTTGTGCTGGTGCTAACAGGATTTAGCAGCCGTGAAACTGGGCTTCTCAGCTGAGCCCAACTGGCTTCCTGACTCACTCTCATTTTACGCTGCCTCTCCATCACTGCTCTTTACAGAGAAACAGCCAGTAATCTAGATCATAATTGCTTGCCCTAATTGAGGCCCAAAAACCTGCAGGGGAGCAAGAGGGAATGTGTGGGATTGTATGTTTTACTGCGTTCCTGGCAGAGTTCTGGAAGAGGGAACTAATAAAGAGGTTCTTCCAAATCGGAGTAAAAAAAAAAAAGCAACTCTGGATGGGAAAGGAGCTCATCTTCTGAAACCATGGAAACCTAACTAGGTCACTGCGCAAACTTTTTTTTTTTCTCGTTTTATGATCTGGTTGAGGCAGGGGTCTGCATAAATGTGTCTCATTTCCATATCAAAGATCTTTGAGACCCTCCTCTCATGTGGTGTTGTTTGTTTGATTACTGTCCTTTGATTGGCCTCTCCAGGGCAAGCATTAGCAGAGATCCCTTCTATGATATGCTGGCCACAAGGAAGAGACGCATCGCCAACAAGAAGTGAAGAGAGACAATCAAATCAAGCTCCAAGGTGCTCCGTCGCCCTCTCCTTTGGTCTATGAAGACATAAGTGGCATGCTGCCAAGCTGGTTCGTCTCAGAAAACTCTCATCAACTTGAAGACAAACCTTTGACGCGCTATAAGTCATAAACGCTACTTGAAAGTGGAAAACTATTGAACCAGCCTGTTTGTGTCCCCTTCATGTCATTCACCCCAAACCTTACCTCCCCATTCATATTAAAAGATCTTTTTGTTTCTACTTAAAGCACAACTGCCATGTTTCAGGTGCATGCATGTGGGTTATTATCAAAAACTATGTTTCTGTTCTGTATGTGTGTCCAACAGTGTGCATGTTCAGTTTGGTTTCTTACATTGTGCGCCTCCAGTGTGCTTTAAAAAATGGTTTTTGGAAGCTAAAAACTAGAATTCAAGTTAGATCAAAAGAATAAACAGGGAAAGGAAACAGATGAAGAACTCTAAGGGATGGCGATTGAGTCAGTTCAACGTAACCACAGCTGGACCGAGGGGTCATTTCATTCTGGTGCTGAGCTCTTCTCTCCAGGTGCCCTACTCAGAGTAACCTTAAAAAAAAAAAAAAGGTGTCAAACGATCGCAGTCTAGATTCTTCTAGGCGGATTTCGTTCTTTTCTTTGGGAGCAGAGACTTAAAATGTGCACACTTTATATTTAACTAGTAATGGTGCTCTTAGATAAACCCTTAGACCTGAAGTTGTAATCCTTACCAACTACCAACTTCATAAAGAGAAGTTTTTTTTTTCCTTTTTAGCTTATTGCCTTTAAGACATACCATAGGATATTAGCAGCACTAAAAAGTGCTCGCAGGAAAGCAACTTCTCTGTTTTTATGGAGATTTCATTTGAAATTGTCTTTGGCATCTCATTTTTCAAGTGTGGTTAGCATTAGCTTAGCATATTGCTGGGGAGGACTTAAACAGGCTTCTCCTTGTGTATTCCTTTGAGAATTTAGGTCCTTACCTTGACTAAGGTTTGCAAAACAGTGTCAACACTTTTGGACAATAGCCTGCTAAGCCAGTGACTAACTGGCCACTGCATACACTATGCTTGTTAGCCTTTCTGGTATCTGCTGAAAGTGTTACTCTCAATCTCATTTTCTGGTAGGCCTATCCTCTCCAATACTGATAATTGCCACATGTGAGACTTCTTTAGTCAATTACAGTGTTTACATCTAGAGATACAGCATGATCAGTAAGATTATAATGCATCTGAGGGAGAAAAATAACAAATTTTCCAATTTGGAATATTACAATTCAACTTTTTTTGGTGATATTTAATTAAAAGGTATCCCAAAAGTTTTAAAAAGTTTAAAATGAAAAACCCCCTGTTAACTTTTCCTATATTTTACAAGCTTTTAATGAGATGAAAAAGTGCCAGAGTTATGAGTTTTCTTTGGCTGCATAGAGCAGATATTTTTACTGTTTTTTTACTGGTACTTTATATGATGGCAGTCCCAAATAACTGCCTCAAACTTACTTACCTCATGTTTTGAAGGAAAATGATTCTCAAAAATACCTGTCATAAGCTGATGTTAAGCTGAGATAATGAATGTAAAATATTTTAAAAGATCAGATTATTTTAAAGGGGAGTATCCTAGGGATTATGACTTCAGAGGCGTTTTCAGAGCCTTTTCAGTGTAAAACAGGGGTTTTATTTCTTGCTCTGGAACAGCCCAGTTGGTGTCAGTCTGATTAAGCTTTTTCCAGTTTATTTTTATTTCTCTTCTGCATATGTTTGTGAAGTTTGATGTATTATTGTGATATTTTCTGCATTTGATCCTTGCTTGCTTTTCTACATAATAACCAGCTATATTCCCCCCCATGTATTTATTTTCATCTTATGGAATTGTTTTATTATTACTCCTTGTAAATCTGATATAATGTATGCCTAAGTTATGTATGTGTATATATATTGTATAGGTTTCGGTGTCTTTGTTGTAGTATGCACACTCTGTGTAACATGTTTGCATCTTGCTAAAGTTTGGGGTCTTCTTTTCAAAAGCCTTAAACAATCATTTGATAAAAAAAAGACACTTAAAGAAGTGATGAAGAGAATCTAGTTCAATGACTGTGACAAAGCTATTTAAAAGCCATGACTGATGAGGAAAAAAGATGGTTATATTTATGATATTGGGAAAGATTATAGTGAATATTATGCCTCATGTTATGGATGATAATATAACTGATTCAGATGTCAAAAATGCCAATAGTTTTGTATGTGATTGTACAATGAAATGCAGGCCTTGTGTAATAAGGGCATAATTTTATCTTCTGCAGCCATATGTGGAGTTGTGGTTGCATTAATTTTTTATATTCTCTGTAAGAACTGTTGGTCACGTTGTACATTACGTGTATCTACATAAAGTATACATAAAGCTTAAAGCAAACTCATGGGATATTTATTAATGACACTCATCCTGACCTACTTCTTTGCATAAACAAGGAGTTTTTTAATCATGTAATAGAAACCACTTTTCCATGAAAAGTTATTACCTTTCAGTTTTAGAGAAAAGAATGTGTAGCTTTATACAGCTGACAGAAAGCAAACAGGTGAGCAACAGGAAGCAGAGCAGGATGTTTAAAAAAAGGTGTTTCTGCAGAGAGGCTAGGCAGTAAATTAAGCAATGGCGCCCTCTATGGGCGGTTTGCTAAAAGTTAGAGAAGTGATATACAGAATTATTTAATTATACAAAATATAGAATTGCATCTGGATTGATTCACACACGTTTCAGCTTTAACTTTTAGTAAAACAAAAAAAGATTTGTCAGTTTAACTACTGTTTGGTGAATAACTAATTGAAAAGGAAATATATTTCCAGGTTAAGTTTTATCCATCCATCCATCCATCCATCCATCCATCCATCCATCCATCCATCCATCCATCCATCCATCCATGATAACCCAAATACAAAAATCTAAACTAAATGAGCTTTGCTGCCACAGAAACTAATTTGTAAATAAAAGTTGTAAAAGCAGCTGCTCATAGCATTGAGATCAAATGCCACTGCTTACAGCGTTAACTACACCTGCAGATTTACTAGAATATAAAGACTGGGTTTATACCTGGTTGTTATCAAGGTGATTTACTATAAATATACAGTCATCTTTTAATATTCGACCGAATCTGTAGTTGTTATCTAATGTATTTTGATGCTATCAGGCATTCTCATAAGTTATATAACAAGCATATACAAATCTGTCTTATTGAACAGAATATTTTTTATAGAAACATTTTCTAGACTCCAACAAACAATTAAGATTGTTTTACAACTATTACCTTACTAGATTCATGTTGTTTTAAATTGCTGATACTTGATAATAGCAATAGCATCACAAAAAATCTCTGATAATATAACAGGTTTGTAGCATCTTTCTGATAGAGAATGTAAAACACCACATTTATTAAAATAAAAAATAATGTAAATTACAGAAAAAGGGGTGATCATCTTAACAGAGACATTAGAGACTAGATCACATGTTACATTGTATTTGGACTTTATTGCTTATGGAGTGATTATGAAGATCGTAAAAATGCATTTATCCCTCCAGGTTTGAAATTATTTTCCCTATGGGGAAAAATTCATACCGCTAATGTATTCTGCATCCTTTGGATACTAAAGCATAGTGATTGTTTTTACACATTTATTAATCCAGCTAATGACCTGAACGATAACATTCAAAAATACATATATTTTTTTTTTTTTTTTTTTTTTTTCTTTTACTACTGTTTACTAGTTCAAACATCATAAAATCATACAAGTATTGTTAGTGAAAGATCAACAGAAATACATTCAAACAGTATAAATGGGGACTATCCATCCTAATTTCTTTTTAACGCTTTGTCTCTTCTTCATGGCATATCCTTAAAGCACCAGGAATCAGACCAGGTCCAAAGGTGAGGCTTACAGGTCTAATGAGGACAAAGACTGAACCAGGGTCACTAATCCAGGGTTAGTTCTGGGGTAAATTCCTGCGTACCCCGGCTTTTCTGTTTCAGAGGTCTAGGAAGCTTTACTCAGCTCTGCTACTGAGCAGTGTTGTTTCACAGAGTAATTTTTAGCTTGATCTCTTCTTAGGGTAATGGTTTCCTAGTTTTACTCTGGATTGCAACTAACCCTGTTTTGTGAGATGGCACTTGGGGAACACAGCTAATCCAGGCACGTTTCTCTGCTAAATCCATCCTTACATGTAGAGGAATCTTTTCAGTTATTCTTTTTTTGTAGATATGTTACATTAAACTGAAAATAGGGGATGTGTTTTGTCTTTAACTGTGAAAGGCAGGCTTATTTGTAGAGCACATTTCACTAACAGAACAATGAAAGTGTTGTACATCAAAAAAAACAACAGAAAAATAAAACAGACAGAGGAAAGTGGCATGATGGGGCTGGTAAAGACGAGTTGGGCTTAGAGCCCAGCTAGTTGTTCTATAGACATTTTCACACATTGATACATGCAGCTCCTGCAGTTGCCTTGGCTTTTGGCTGTTTTCTGAACAATGCCCATTTGTTATTGGTTCAGATTTATGGCATACTGTCTCCTCCATTGGATTTTTAAAATCTGCGATATTATTGTATATCCAGTCTTAAACGTCTACGCAAATGCTATTAATTCCATAAAGTTTTCTACCCTCAGAGGTCTGTATGGTTACTTCTGAGATAAAAAAAAAGTCACTTCATTCATTATATTATTATTGAAATATCTTGAAAACCAGGCATTATTTGTTTAGCAGGTTTTAACCATGCACTGATCTGTGTTGATCTTTCACACCTAATCCTAATGAAATCCACCGAAGAGTGTAGTTCTACGAACATTAATGAGGAATATGATGCGTTTTATGAGACCTTTACAAGGCACAGTATGAAGATTGAAAGGTATTTGATGGTCTACATATAGATACAAATTTATAAATAATTTCCAGCATACTATTTTGACCCAAAGTCTAAATGTAGTTCACTTATTCTTTCAACTGTGAGTAGTTTAACAAAAAAGAAAAAATAAACTAAGAAGTAACTTTAAGAAAAAAAAATCTATTTGGTTTGTCTTGTTACCAGAAATTAAACTCTTTGTTGACTCAGCAATTTGACTCTAGAAGATTTTATGGTGGCCTTCAATAGGCCTCTGGAGACTCAGCAGGGTGAGGATGACACCTGGTCATAGTCAGGACATTTGAGGAGAGCAGGGTAGTTGATGCTCATTTGAAATGAAGCATCGCTCGAGATATCTGAGGGGCTCCGTCCACGTGACCAGGACTCAGGGTGGAGGAACTGACCAGAGTGGTCAGAGCAGTTACTGTGCCTGGGTCGGTAGAAATTTGGATGGCGAGCCTGATAGATCTCCTCTGCTGTGTAGCGCTTCATAAACAGGTAGACTGACATGACTCCTGCACTCTGTAGTAGACAAAAAAAAAAAAACAATTATTAGAAAACACTAGTTTAAAGATCTGTTGTGGGTCAAACTGAAAAATCGATTTACGAACTGTAATTCTATTCAATTCTTGGTTTTAACTTGAAAATGCTTTTACTGACTAAGGTTTATCAGGTCTAATAAAGAACTGCAGCTCTTCCTTTTGACCACTAGATGTCAGTAAAGTCACCTCACTGATCACAGCTGATTCTATATATACTTTTTAGTAGAGATGATTTGTAGTGGTGGTAAGATGGAGAAATAATTTCTAGAGGATTGTTGGGTTATCTGTAGGGGGTGCTGCAAGGAATAAATGATGCACATTTAAAAGCAATGCAATGTGATGGGAAATAGAGATTAAAAATCACTTTGATTTAATGATCCAGTTCATATCAATCTGCATTTTGAATAAATAAATGAGCTGCAGCTTCTTTTAACCATTACCAATTAAATTAAATAACTGATGGTCCCAAAACAACAAAAAAATATATTTAAGGAAATCATTCACATTAAATGAATTTGATAGTGAACAAATAACTAAATCCCAATGTCAATATTTCAGTTAGATAACAGTTCAAAACTCCATTAATCCAATGTGGATATAATTTATTAAATTATGGATTTAATATGCTTAAAACAGGGTATTCACTTAGTATTTGTCTGCAGGTAAATAGCTTTTAGAGGCATCCATAGGTTATGGTCTATTCAAAAACAGTTTCAGTAGTTTGAGCTAATGGACAGTAGTGGAGAGATATTAAATATTTATTTAGAAATAGAGAAAAAACTTTGTGACTTTAAAATAAGACCATATGAATTATATGTTTGATTTGTGCATTTACAAGTTTGTTTTTTATTAAAATCTTAATTTAATATGGAGACATTAAGAATATTAATAGAAAAATATTGAAGATGGACTGATAGAATATTTAATATATACATCACAGTTTTATTTGAGTATTTATACATAGAGTTCAATATTTCTGCAAGTGTGTAAGCACTGAAATGATTTCTATTGAGACTGAAACTAAAATGCCATAAATTCAAAAGATTTTAAGGGTGATTTTTGTACCTCAGTGAGCAGGAAAGAGAGGGCAGCGAAGGCGAAAGACCAGCCATACTTATAGGAGAAAAAGGCCTCACTGCTCTTTGTTCTGTTGAGCATCTCATCGTTTATACTGGAGATGTACAGTACAAGACCCACCACCAGAGCCAGCCCTAAAATAAAGAGAATTTTTTTTATAAACATGTTCAAAAATTAAGTGAATTATCTCAGAACTTTATTTAAAAAAAAAAAACATCATAAGATCTGTTCACCAGAAAGAATGAAGAAGATTCCTGAGACAAACGCCAGGATGGTGCGGTGAGGACGGACGTGTCCAATGTTGTTGAGAACGAAACCGATGAACATAAAGAGGAGGCTGACTAGAGGAAAAGGAGTCGCTGAGCGGATCATCTCTGAGGAGTGGGAGATAAATTTGAAGAAAAAAAAGTTGTAGTTACACTGCCCTGAGCATTATCATTTTTACCAGGAAAAACATCAGAGTATCAGTTAGAAAATAAATATTAAACTGAACAATGTCCACTTTTGGCCTGCAGGATGTTTGCAAATACATGAACAAGCTTTAGCTGCAGGTTGATTTGAAGAGTTGAATTGAAATAATCTAAAACAAAAATGGACTGTTCTTTTATTGTTATCCTTTATTTCTTAGGCATAGTTAAAAAATAAATGAGGATAATGAAAAAGAACCACACCTGTCTTTGAATCTTTAAAAACATCCTGGACATTTTTGAAATAAGCTCATATAAAAATAACTTTATAGCAGGATTTTTGACGAACCGATAAAGATCCCTTTTAATTAACTTTAGGAAAGGCCTATTACACATCTTTTAGTTTAAAGATTTTGTATTCGCAAGCATATAGTCTAAGAGGATTGTGGTTGTATTTTGAGTTATGTCTCAAATTAATATCCTGACAAAAATCAAAAAGCAAGAATATTTTTACTACGAAAGGCAATAAATACACTATCCAGACTTTCTTTCTGTTAAAATGAAGTTTATGGGAGGATGATTTCGTATACAACAACAATTTCAAAATAATTATTTTTATTTGATCCGAGATCCTAAGATATGGGGATGGTTTTAATCACATAGAATTAGTGTATGAATGAATAGATTTTACAGAGATTGTCCAAAGAGGATTGGTCAAAGGTCTGTCTTAGTGCATGCCTCGTCCGTAAGAAATATTAGAGGAGAACACTAAGTAATGCTTTATCAAGTGGGTTGTGGTCAGTATTAACAGCAGACAGAGGAATTGACAAGGGATTTTTTTTTTCTCTTTTAGAATAAAGACACTCAGGCTGTGTTTTTAGATATTTGTCAGTCTGCTGCAACACAGATGAAATATCTGCAATGGATTTTAATACAACTTTGCAAGTGGTGGGGAAAAAAATGTTCAATTAACATTACTCTAACTCCTTTGTAAAATTCAATTTAAAAAATATACATTCTTTTGTTCCCAGGAGACTGTTTTTAGCTTCTCCAATTCCATTAAGTTGGGATCCACTTGTCTCCCTTCCAAGAAAAGACCCATTACTTGACTAAGACTTTTATGATCATTGTCTCAATTAATCCAAAGGGGAGATCTTGAAACCTGCGAGGCATCACATTGCTCATTAATCTGATTTTAGTCTGCTTGATGACACATCAAACACTAAGGAGATATTTTATTCTTTGGTTCAACTAGTTTTACAAGGTTTACAGTTGTGTCAGACAGAAAAAAGTCAGGGGATGTCTTTTACCCCTTTTAACCCATACTGAAAATATCAACAAAGCTAATGCCATGGCAATGTAAATCTTAAATTTGACCCCAGTTTCACTGAAGGACTTTTGCTGTTGTCTGCATGGAGGTAATAAGTATTCTAGAGAGGAAGCGGCAGAAACACAAGGTTTCTTATGAGTCATCTGTCTGGATGGTTTCAGATGAGGTATTTCTGAATGGAGAAGCATTAGAAAACAACAGGCTTTCACCCTAGAATAATACTCCAGCTGGTTACACGAGTGCCCTGAACAGCACCACTGGGATGCATTTGCCCTACGCTTTGATTTCCTTCTTACTCACTGAGCACATTTCCTGTGGACTCTGACGTCAGCTGGAGGCTCGTAGGCATCATGTACTCAATGGTGAAGCAGCGGCCCAACTCCTCACCTGATAGAGAGGATGGAAGAAAAGGCAGAAGATTTAGATTTAATACAGAAAAAAAATACGAAATACTGCAGAAAATGATTGGTTTTATATATATATATATATATATATATATATATATATATATATNTATATATATATTCAATGTAGTTTGAAAAAAGTATTTATATTCTATTGAGTTTGCCTGGCAGAAAAGAAGCACTGAGGCCATAAAGTTTTACATAAGTTTGTTTTCTCTAACCTTTTCATTTATCCAAACAGTTTCATAAATGTGCATTAATCCAAAATAATATTTGGCTAAATGTCCATTATAATGTTGCAGAGAAACTGTTTCTTTCTTTAAGTAGAAAAAAAAGGTATGCCAGATCTGGTTTGAAAGGTTTTGGCGGAGTTGATTTATTTTTGAAAATTTTGGTTTGGATCTGGTACCCTGAGAAGAGAACATATGATGTATCTCAGTCAGTGCAATGAAGTCAGCCTCAGGTATCCCTGAAACAGAACTCAGATGACTCCCAGTTATTGTGAATGTTGGTTTTAAGACCACCAAAGCTGCAGTGGCTTGTCAACGCATCAGTAACAACAGGTATAACAAGATGAACATCTTTGAAAGCCAGAGTGTGAAATCCATTTTTAGAGACCCTGAATAGGAGATGGCTAATTGTGCAAATTCAATTTTTGATTAAAATAATCACAAATCTGTGCATCCCTCATTGTAGCATACAAATTTTACTAACCAGCCAGAAAGCAAACTCTCCAGAGTCCTGAGTGCAGTGAAGTCTTGATATCAGCTGTCTGGTTCAGAGGCATGATGACGCCCTCCTCCAGGTAGAGCCAGTAATCGGTGCTCACCGCCACCCCCAGCAACCCCAGGCCGCTGATTGCAAAGACACTGCTGAGCAAAGTCAAAGCCTTCCTGCTGCATGCACTCATGGCTTCTGGAAGCTTGTCGTTAAAATGGAAAACTGGGTCCTGGAGGACTATGATGGCAGGAGGGAAGAAAAAAAAGCTTTACTGATCAGGTACTAAAGATAGATATATATATATATGGAAAATCTTTGATCTTTTTCCATGAATAAAGGTTGGACATCCATCAGGGGAAATCTAAAATTAAAACTAAACAGATTTAATATTGGTCACATAATCATGATAATAATAAAATGTTTTAAAAGAGCCATACATATAATTTAAGGTTAGTGTAAAAATGAAATCTGAACAAATCAACAGCAATTAAATCAGATGGTAAAATCAAATATGTTGTATGAGGCAATGAAGTTACAGTGATTAAGCTGTCCAGAATAGTTGGGTTGATTTTAACAGGAATAGCTTCTCAGTCCTAATATATATAACTAGTCATGGTAAATTGTGACCTCTAATTTTTCATATTTTTTAAAGTATTCAAAATAAATCAAATAATGAAAATAGTGGATAAAAGCAACATTTTGTCATGATCTTGGCACTGATGACTGGCTAACTCTGCCCGGTTGCTCATTACCTCTCATCTGATCTGCCAGTGGCGAGAGTGCTTTTAGCTTTCCTTTGTGATTCTGATTACCTGATCCTGACCTGTTCTGCCTCTCAACTACTAAGCCTGCCTGTTCTTATTCTGATCTCTTTGTCTGACCTGACTTCGGACTCCTGGACCTCTGAGCCTGCCCATTCCTGTTCTGTTTGCCCGACCTGGCTTAGGACTCCTGGATCTCTGAGCATGCTCTTTCTTTCTTTTGTTCTGATTTGTTTGCCTGACCTGGCTTCGGACTCCTGCATGTTCTCAGGGGCTGGAGCATCTGGAGACACTCTGGGCGGTACCTGTCGCATCTCGATGGTGGCCCACCGGCTGGATCCTACCTGGTTCTCTTGCTATGGAATGAACTTATAAACCAGGTTGGGGACTCATTTTCATAATCTTCCTCTGTTAGAATTAAATGGTCACTAACCTGTGTTTTCCTCTCTCCAGAGTTTCCTGCCTCAGACGGCCTAGCAGCTGCTACTGCAGATCTGCAGCCCGTTTATCTTAATAAATGCTTTTTGAGTTATCCCACTGTCTATTTTGCCTGAATACTGGGTCCTTCTGTTCTGAATATTGACACATTTGTTTAAGAGTGTAAGGTGTTTATTTGATGAGGTAGGTAAATTGAACTTCTTTAGTTCTATTACAACTGAAAACTTGATTTTATTAACTTTATCAGAGAGAGACCAGCACAAAGCAACAAAGAGCAGTTCTCTGAAGACTTCAGAGGTCTGTTTAGGACCAAGGAAAGAAGCAGGAATCCCAGGGATAGGCTTTAGGGGAAGTTTAAAGCAGGATTCGGTTTAGTACGCTATGTCATCTCACGGAGCTCTAATAAGGAAACAGCATAGCACCAGCAGACACATATCAATACTATATGACACCTAATGTTATAGGCAAGGAAAGCAGAGTTCTAATCAGTGAAGAAGAAGAAAGTAACTCTGCATGAGTTCAAAATATCAATTTCTCAAGCAGGACAGTTTGTCAACACAGCAACTGTGAACTGTGACAGTAAAATCCCTAAAAAAAAAAATCATAAAGAAAACGTTTAAGGTTTTACAGATTTTCTGGAAAAAAAAAAAGATCAAAATCAGCAGGCTCTTCATACAACCACCTCTATGAAGTTGGACTCGCAATCAGGTCTTAGATGTTTTTTTTTCTTTGTTCAGCTTTGTGAGCTGAACTGAAGAACAAAAATGAAAAATGTGGGAGGACTGTGGGAGTGAAAGATGACAGACGATTGACCTAAAGATGAAAAGCTCTGTGAGCAACAAGTCTTTGTAGTTACCAATCAGACCTTTTACACCATATTTAACTATCAGCTCATTAAAAAGAGGCAAATATATACCAATTACAATCTTTAGTGTTTTCAGCTCATGTGCAAGAGAGGAACCTTTACCATAACTGGTCTGTTTTTAACATTCTTTTCATGTCCTATCTAACTGACGTCTTACATATTAAAATGGAAGCCATATTTGAGGGTCTTGAGCCTTCAAAACAGAAGACGAAATACCGTGAATACAAATGCTTACAATATTTATTATCCAGAAGCTGTTTTTGACATTTTCAGTCAGGAGAAAAAGCTAGTTTCACACAGGCATAATCAGTCTGCAGATCTGAATGAGGAATCACATAGAAGGATGTCACCTGAAGGTGAGGATTTAGATCATATATAAACCTGGGACAATTTACTTCAGTAAAGAGTATTGGGGGGAATAAAAATGTCACAGATATTTATTAGTTTGGTAGGATGCAGCACACATATAGATGCAGGATCATAAAACATATTTTTCTAGCCTTAAGTGCATCTATTTCATAGTCTTAAGGCATTCATTAATCAGCTCCTATTATTCTTAAGGGTTCATAGGGTATTTTTGTAATGAAGAATACCCTTAGTTAAAAACGCTGAAGATTTAATGATTTAAGTCTGCTTAAGCTTTGAAGATCTTAACCAATTATTTATATAATTTGACTTTCCGCCTTACTCTAACATGCAGGTTGTTGATGAGGGATGCAGGTTGACCTGCATCCCTCATCAACAGCCCTAAAACATCTTAGGCTTCCCTTCTGTCAGTACGAAAGTAAAAGAGGTGTATGTAATTATGGTCTTTCGGTATCTAAAGAAGAATAAATCTACAGAAACTAATGGTGTCTCTCCTCTTCACCTGAAAACCTGTGCTGACCAACTAACACTATCTTCACCCATATCTTCAACAGATATGCAAAGCTGTGTGAGTTTCCTTCTTGTTATAAATGCTCCACTATCCTTACAGGGAAACTTGCTGCCACAAGTTTTAGTGACTTCTGGTCTATTGCTCAGATGCCTTTGGTTGCTAAATTATTGAAGTATTTGAACTATATCAAAAGTTAATACATTTAATCTATGTTCCTTTAGACTAGCTTGAAATACTTATGTGACAATCCAGAGCACACATCATAAAGCTATATTTGCATTGTATACAAAAGAGGCTACTGTTTTACAGGTCTTAACTAAGTCTTAAATCTTCATCTTCAAGCCTTAGTCAAGTCTCAATAAAGACAAGTAGCTTTCTAGTCAAGTCCCAGGTATGAAACTATAAATTTCAAGTTTTCTGAGTGTTTTTTTTCTAATAAATGTTGAATTATAAGTTTTATGTTAATAATTAAGTGTATGTTCTTTTTTTAATTTGCATTTATCTCAACAGTTGTACCAATGCAACCCAACAATTGTGTGAAAGGTTTTCTCTATGCAACCTCAAACATCAAACTGGTGAGTTGTTCCACTTGCGTCTACGATTCTTTTTTGCATCTTTTAAATGTTGTTTTAGCTTTTGGTTTGATATATTGTAAATTATGTGTCCAAACGATGCTTATCTTGGGAACATTTCTGTTTTCAATTGATTTTGGTTGGGTGTGTTGCAGCGCATTCACATATAAAGAAAGTAGAAAGATAGAGAAATAGTCTGCGTTTATTAATAAGGGATGACTGAAGTCTTTTCAGGTAAACAAGTTCCAGTCCAATTCCAGTCCCATATCATGGATGTAAAAGTCTTAAAATTAAAGTCTCAGGAACTGTTATTTAGTACTAATTACATGTTAGGTCATTGGAGGAAACTCCTGGAAAAAGTCTTTCCTACCATCACAAACATTAAGATAAGCTACATTGATGTATATGAATTAGTATTGATTTGCTGCGTTCAGATTGGATTCAGATCAAATCATTTTACCACAAGCATTTCATCAGGATCTGTAACAACCAAATAGTGAATGTGTGGAAAAGCTCCTCTTTCCAACAGCTATGCATGGTGGGGGGTGTGTAATGCTGTGGGCCTGTTTCCCTTCCCTATAGGTATGAGTGTTTGAAATGTCAAGAAATCTACATAAAATAAGGGGAACTTTTAGTTTTCCCTAAAAACTTACATTTATTTATATTTTTTATTCCATTTTAAGTGAGGTCCATCCTACATGCCAGAAGTAATCAAACTAAGTTTCTGATCATTTGTCAAGATACAGGGATTATTTACCCTAATGTCCTTAAATTAAAGGCTTAACCTTTTCAGAGTCAGATTATAATAACAGATTGTTAGTGTAATAAGATTTCTTTTAATCTTAAAGGGGTTTTGACATATTTAACGGCAATGTCAGTCACTGTGTAAGGCACAGAATAAAACAGTAACCTTTGCAGATGTATCTGAATGAATTATGCCAGAGATCATAATATTTAATCTGTTCTTTAGAGAATTAAAACCTAGTTTCATGATTTTATGTTGATATCTCCATGATTCAGTGACAACATCATTAATTCATTTGTGTTACATCAACTTAATAGAATAGACATTTAGGTGCATGATATTCAACTTTTTTTCTACTGTATAAATGTATTTCTCTGGATGGAAATTTTTAGCTGTATGTCTAATAGAGTTGCTTGAGATTCATGCTACTGAGAATGTGCTGACCAGCAAGAAAAAATCAGGTACCTTAAGCAAAATATCTCATGGATTCAAGGTGAAAACATTATGATTCTGAATATGGCCAAAAGCATGCCACAAACACTTGTTTTAATGACTATGTCCATCCAGTTTTCTCCTCGCTGTTAGTTATGTGTCCAGCATAAATATCATGTGTCTCAAAGTTCCTAAAAAAAGCCATGGTGAAAGAATAACGAGGTAAACTTACCAGGTATCAATAAAATCCTTTAGAGAAAAGTAAGGAGACAGAGACGATGAATCAGCGTGTCGATGCTACAGTCAAACAGGAGAAGGCGGGCGGCAGAGGGAATGTTGCCTGGTCCTGCTCTGCTGCCTGATGTCTGTTGTTCATTGTTAAAATGCTTACAGAGGGAGAGAGAGAGTGGCAGAGCAGCTGTAGCTTCAAAGGGTTCACAGTTTGTGAAAATTGAGAGAGCAGTGGTTACATTTGCTTAAGGTTAGAGTGTCTTGATTACAGTTAAATTTAATCAGTAAAATGTCTTAATTATGCAGAAAAAAATAAAAGACTCACGGCAAATCCAGCACCAAGGTCAGCTCCAATGAGCCTTTAAACTGTTTTGGCACCATAATGATGGACTTTAACCCGACTCATAAAATATCTTGAAATATCGGCCCATATTTTCAAAACAATCATTAGATCAAACAGGGTTTTTATTACTTTTGGACCTGACTTGTAGCTTTTAAAATGGTTATTTCTGACCAACTGTTTTCAATAACGCACTTATCAACATTGAAAGAAGTCTTTAGCAAAGAAAAGTAAAATAACATACAATGCATACCAAAATAACTCAATTTTCCTTTAAGTCCTTATGGGCTTTGAATTAATATTATGGAAGGAAACCCATTTATTTAGATTTAAATGTGCAGTGACTGGCACAAATTGACCAATAATGGACACAAAAACAAGATACAGTAATAAGTATAAACCAAAAATAACATTAGGAAAATTATGTATTTAAAATCTTTAAATCTGATTTATATTTTCTGTTTTAAAAGTATATTTCTAAATACAAATTTTGATCATACCAATTTAAAATAAAGCATTATTCTGTTTGAAAACACGCTCAGATTGTCAAATCTGCAAACACTGATAATTTCTGGGATGATGAAAAATGTACTTAAACAAACAGAATATCTGTAGGCAAAGAATGGACCTGATCACCCATTTCCAACCACCTTGCCATCTGCCAAAAAGTTATGTTGATATTCCTAAGAAATAAATAATGACCACATTATCGCAAATTTCCTGAACACATTTAAAATTCTCTTGAGAAAAGGGAGAAAGGACTTGGTATCAATTTGAAAAGAAAATAATTGTGTATCACTTGAACACATTTGAACCAATTACTGTGCGCCACACACAAAAACAAACAAAAATTCATAACTGAATTCACATTATTTTATTGCTTAAAGCTCCGCAACATACAGTAAATGCTCCTCAAAAAGCCGCCCACTTCCAAAGCAAAGCAATATTGAGTGGTAAATGTGGAAATCAGGGGATCCCCTGCTGGTCCCTCAATGGACAGGAAGAAGAGCCAAATATGCTTGACTGTTTATGAGTCTATAAATTGTTTTTATAAAGGTTTTTGATTGTGCATCCTATATCTATATCCAATAGCTATGCATATATCTATTCAGCTGTGTGCAGAATATTGGTGGTGGGATCAGTGGGTTGAAGGTTTGGATAGTTATAAAGCCAAAGGATTGTGTTTCCTACCTGTTGCTGTCCGACCAGATCAGAGGAAAAAAATGTATAGTATTTAGTGTTTCACTAAGTTCTGGAACAGCTGTGGTCTTAGGTAAAATTAAGGTGAATTAAACTGTCTTAATATTCATTTTTATTAATTTAACTTTGATTACCTGTGGCATGTAGGATGGATCTCACATAAAATTGCATAAAAAATATAAATAAATTTAAGTTTTTAGGGAAAAGTTTTTATAAGTGAACCAGTTCTAGCTTGGATTTGTAGAGCCAGTTAATGCATGCAAAAGTTTTGTTTTTTTGCCTGCCTGTTTTTGAGAGGTTTATTGTATTGATTTAAAGCTACAGTGTGTAATTTTCAGCGACATCTAACGTCCAGACTGCAGACCGCAGCAACATGAACATCTCCCCCCCACCGCTTCTCCCCCCCAACAGTACGGCGAGCGTTACGGGGCAAAATGTCTTCCACGACGTCCGCATCACCTACCTTCTCAAGTGATGAGGTTTATATACATAGATCATTTTACAGATAGTATTTCATTAGTCTGTGTAGGGTATAGATTTCATGTAGTATAATAAATATACTTACTTTCGAGCGTAATGGGCGATCTTGCAATCGCTAGTTTGTTGGCTCTGCGCTGCCGTAGCGCAAAGATGTCTGCCTCCATGGCTGCGAGACCCGCTCCTATGTAATTATTAATAACGAATTCTAAGGCAACGCAAATATTAAGGTTAAGAGGCTGAGCTCGTAGATGATAAATAACATAGTTATGCATAATATATTACATTTCTGACTGTATATCCCTGTAATTATTACACACTGTAGCTTTAAATCGGAGAACAGAAATGTAGTATTTGAAAGGATGTTTCTAAATTAAACTCATGAAATCAATAATACAACACAATAAAAACAACCAACAGAACATTGTGCTATATATATATATTTATATATATATATAAGTATTTATATATAATTCATACTTTATTTGTACACAGTATCCGCCATACCACAAAAAACAGAGGAACAGGAAGATTCAGTTTACAAAGCAAGAACATTGAGGAAAACGTATAAACTGCTCTGGAACTATAACTGTGTCTTTAGCTTCATAAAAATTATTCAAAAATTACATTTTTTTAATCTTCCATCCAACATACTTTCTCAATATGAGATGTAAACATTCAGATTTGTTTAACAGATATATTTTTGGTCCAGGTATAAACAGTGCATTGAAACAGTATTCATACCCGTTGAACCTCAAACTCCAATTTATTAGGATTAGTTTTCATACTATAGGTCAGGATTTTTCGATTCCAGTCCACAAAGGGATGCAATCCCACAACTGTTAGTTAGGTCCTTGCTCCAACCTAGCAAAAGCAATTATTGACCCATTTACATCTGAAAGCAATAAGACAGTCAGGGACTGTAGCTCAATACTACTGACATATACCAACATTTCAAAGTGTATATTGGTGAATTAAAAAGGTAAAAATACAAACATGTTTAATCTTTTCACTAAATAAAACTAAAAAGTTCCAAATGCTTTTTATTCTGATACCCCTTAATAAAATCCATTGTAACCAACTGCCTTAAATATTCATCCAATTAGTTAAGAAAGTGTGTGACTTAAGCTTAGTGTAAATAAAGTACAGTAGCTCTCGGAGGATCCCAGTTAAGGAGAAGTTTATATAGAGGTTAGACAACACTATTTAATCAACCATCCATTGGACTGGAGGACCTGTAGATTTAATAAGGAGTCAATAAAGGAGTGACAAGAAGTAAACTGTTGAAAGAAAGCCTTTGGAAGTCTGATTAAAATTTTACCTCAAACATGGCAGTCAGCAGACATGAAGGATCAATATTTAGATAAGACAAACACTGATAACAGTAAACAGTTAAATACTGTGGTGACAGCATCATAATGAGAGGATGGGTTTCTTTGGCAGAGACTGGAAAGTTCGTCAAAGTTAATGTGAAGATAAATAAAGTTAAAACAAAAAGAAACTAGAAATGAAGCTGTTAGCACCTGCAAAACACTTAAAGGTATAGTGGAGGATTTTCAAGAATTTTTGAAAAGACCCACCCTCTCCACTCCACTCCTGAGAGGGAACGTCTATTAAAGAGCGTGCACAAGCCCATTTCTCCTTGTGCACACTCACAATCAAACATTTATATGAGTCATAATCTTGAGATTAATGGTATAGTGGAGGGTTTTCGCAATTTTTTTAAAAAATACCCACCCTCTCCGTTTAAAAAAAAGCACATGCACAACCCTGTATCCTCTCCAGAGAGGGAACCCCTATTAAATGTGTGTGAGAGCGTGCACAAGCCCATTTCTTCTCGTGCACACTCTGTTAAAAGGTTGCTGTTTGCATCGCTCATACAAGCTTACTTTCCAAAGAAAGATTTGTAATTTTTCCACTTGTCAGATTCACCACCGGCTAGTGAAAATGGAGATGAGCATGTATGATGGCCTTACATAAACATATCACCAGAATGATTGACAATTAGGAGGACCACTTATTTTGATGATCCTCCCGGAAAAAGAACATCCTCCACTATACCTTTAAGATCGCTGCAAAGTTGACCAATAGGAGAATTTCTTATTTACATATCCCCAGATCTACAACAGTTGAGTTTGAATAGGAACATACACATGTGTTAGTATGGTCTAGCCAAAGTCATGAGTTAAGATGGGTAAAATTAGTACTGAACCATTTTTTTCAATAGCACCTTTAGAAATATGTTTACTTTAAAAAATGCTGATGTCCTCTATACTAATTTACCTCCTACAAATTCAATGCAGAGTCCTTGGCATGACAGACTAATGAGGGCTAATGTTCACAAATGTGTTTTGTCTAGTCTGACTGAGTGAGTAAAGCTGTTAGAGGAAATTTACTACAATAACAAAAAATATTTAGAACATTTGGTCCCTCTCTAAGAGTAAAAATTTATCCTTTGCTGTTTTTAAGATTAAAATGTCCTCAATTAAGAGTTAGATTAATTAAAAGTCGCTCATAAGATAAAACTTTCACTCATGCTTTACGTTATATAATGTTTGGTCTGAAAATTTGCTCCCACTCATACCCAGAGTATCACTTTTTCAACTCAAAGTTGATCCAAAACAGCAGTTTTGACAGAAAATGCTTATAAACTCTTGACAAATTACCTAACCATTTTTTCTGTGTTGACATACCCCAAAAAGATGTGTCACTACATCAGTTCCCCTCTGCTCTACAAATATGGACCAGTTTGTGTTCCACTGTCACATAAAATACTAAAGAAGACATTTAAATTTGACAAAAAATGTTCAACGGGCATGAATAAAGTCACTGTAACAAAATCAGGAGGCTTTGTTTAATTTCAGTATTTTGTAAGAATCTATAAATTAGCTTTTTGAAAGATTTTCTATTGAAAGATAATTAACATCTCGCTGTAGCAAAAAAGACATAAATGTGTATTTGGCACCAGAGAATACAAATAGCTTAAGGGATTCTCATATCTTATTGATTATATCTGAGCTATTTAGCCAAACAGGTTAGATCACAAGACAGAGAAAGAGGAGAGAAAAAAATCAGAAAGAAAATACACATTGTTGGCTGGTTTTTTCATCCTGCACAACTCCACCATCTCTTTATCATGCAGGGGCCTTTTTTCATGCTGGGATCAGGCCTCGCCTCATGCATGCAAACGATATATATACAGACAACACATTTCAAACACAGGGTGCTTAGGACTCAGTTTGGAATTCGTTTTTTTTCTACAGAGGGAGTCGACCCTGTCAGGACCAAGGCAAGAGGGGCATTGGATAATCGCTCCACCAACAGGTAGTGCTGCATATTCTCTATATGACACTGAGTAGTAGAAAACAAAGGATAAATACTTGCTATACATACATATAAGACAAGGTTTGCTGATACCAAAGCTACCAAAGAATCAGCCAAACTTTAAATAGAGCTCTTTCCAAGACTAATCTAAACATAGAAATGTTCAAACCGTCTAAGGTAGTAAAATCACATTCAGTTTGTTGTATAAAATCAGAAAGTAACTTCTCTTCTTAAAACATATTTACACACAAAACAAAAAAACAATATCGGAGTCTAAAGCAAAAGTCAAACACAAAAACCGAAACAAAAAGTTTTCGCAGTAGGAAACCTTTAATCTGATGAACACGAATTTCTTTTATCGGAACACTAAGTTTTACAGTCATACAAGACGTGAGCTGCATCCTAGACTCTACGGCTCACACAGAGTCAAAAAATAAGCATGCGACAGAGATCTGCTTTGTGCATATGAAAAAATAGCATCTTGCCGACTCAATTTTTTTCTGAATAACACTCGTCCACTGCAGCTAGGATCTGTTGCGCTAAAAAGGAGCAGGACAGCTTGCAACGATAATACAGTTTGATTCAGTCTGTCCAGATCGAGACAGATATACTCTAGTAATACGTCATACAAAAAAAAAACCAGATACAAACAGCCTCTTGTTGAGGGGTTTTAGTAAACCGACAGGATAAGGAAAGGCCAAAGGTGGAAAATGAGGAACAAGAACTGCAATAGAAATGTATCTCCATCTCTACTTTGGCACTATTGTTACAGTGTACTAACTCTTTCTGAGTGTAGAAATGTAACAAACATGTAGATAACATTTAGGCAGAACAAAAAAACTTGCTCCAGTCTTTTATGCATTGTAGGGATGCGAAGGACAACTGTATTGTACCTTTAACACCAAAAGAGATAGTAACTGATACTGAGACACATTCATTCACATAATAAAAGGCTGTAGGACGGCAGAAAACTACAGCTTGGAGTTTGGGAATACAGAGTTGGGCTGAATAACGCACAACAGGATGAGTCGGAAATTTCAGTGCCATGCCATTCTCCACCTTCCCTTAAATTGCATTATGTTCTGACGCAGAAACTAGAGGATCATTTGAGTCTGTTGACAGTAGGGCGTTGGGTATTTCCTCCTCATACCACGCTGTGTAGAGATGGATGGATGAACTGAGGGTTAATGAAGGAGAAGCCAGCAAACTCGCTCTGGTCGATGTTGGCAATGACCAGCTGGTCGGGAGGGGTCAGCATGGGCTGCGTACGCGTGAAGAACTTGTCGAAGTTCTCAGCTCCCTTCCCACACTAAAAGAAATGAGAGGAATGTTAGTATTTCAAACTTCAGAGAGTATAAATAACTAAAGATGGAAGCTTTTTCATGTTAGAGGGCTTCTCAAGGGGAGGGGATTCTGGGATAAATTTCAATGTTTCTTTAATGTCATTTCTATGAATGAACACCTTCTGACAAGCGTGGGAAGCCGTAACCCTCCCTCTTATATGTAGCCTTATATGGCATTATTGGGGTGATAATTATTCAGATTTCTCATGAGTGTCCGCTCACTTATGCACAGGTGGACTGCATCAAGTTTATGGGGATCAGTTGTGATTATTCATTAAAGTTGAGAACGTTTGCTGAATCAGATGTCTGGGTTTGGTAAAAGCCCACGGATGTAGAAAAAGTAAGAGAAATATACAACTAGAATACGAAAATGTTGCATGAGGACCAATGTGTGTTCATATGTTTGGTAATAGTGAACAGAGCCTCATGATGATCAAGGATTAAAGCGGACGATTCAGGGAGAAAGAAGATGCAAAACATCATCACTTTGATTCCTCTGCTGTTTACTCAGATGAGACTCCACTTTGTCTCTAAAATTCTCATTATTTACACTCGGATCTTTTCAAGACTGCAGAGAGAAGGTGCTGCAGCAGGTTGGTTGATGGACCATTAAAGAACCTGATCTATGACATGGAGGAAACCAGAGATGTTAATAGACCTCAACAAAAAAGAAAGCTGAGCCATGCTTTACATTCGTGCTCTCATAATAGAATGAATGAGAATTTCAGGTTGAAAAACAGCATCTATACTTGATGAGAGGCTGAATACTAATACACTAAAAACTTTTAGTATGTAAAAAAAACATTGCTTTTTCTGTTAGACAAAATTCCTATAATATGAAGTGATGATTGTTGTGTCTATCCTGTATTATTGTTCTATGATAAAAAAAAATGTAAATACATAAATAAAAGGGGCAGGGCCACTTCTGTCAAGCATGTCAGATCAGAGTACTTAACATGTGATATTGACTTCTGGCACCTCGTTTTTCTAATGCTTCTACTCAGGAGACCTATGAGCATTCCTGATACGCCGCTCCATAATTTTACACTAGTAGAGCCATAAAGGCTCAGACAGATCCCGTTTGCACTCCCTTCAGACCAATTTGTCCTGCAGCATTAGAGCTCACAAATGTAATAAGGCACACAGCAGCCCTAATGGATCCACCTGCATATAGAGGTGTTTTCTATTCCTTAGGTGTGAGTGGAGACAGTGACATCGACTGTGAAGGCTTGCATTTATTTTGTGTGGAAATAAAGGGAAACTGTACTATTTTTAACTCTCACTGAGCATTGAGGGGTTGAAAGAGGCGGCGGCCAGAAAACAGAAAAGGAATATCGTCTGTGACAGCAGGTAATACTACCAACTGAATAAACATGCTTAAAAAAGAAATGATTTCAAAGCTTTTTAACTTAACTTTACATGGGATGCTTCAGTTTTGTGTGCCTAAAATTAACGGTTTGGTTTGGATTTATAAAACATTTCTTTATTTGTAAATTCATTTTATCTAAAGTTGAGGCAGACATGAAAGGCTTGAGTATAAGGCTGTTGTAAGCTAAAATTTTGAATAAGTATTTTAAACTGCATAACAGTCGACTCTAAATGTGTTTTAAGAACTTTGATATTTTTGCAGAGGACTGATGTTACCACCAAGGATAACTGCCTGTTATACTTGTTATAAAGTAAGTTAGCTGGAACTAATCATGGATTACCAATTTCAATCCTCTGCTCAAATGCACATCCACCTCACTCACCACTTTGGGTTTGAAAGGTGGCTGGATCTCTCTGTTAGCCAGGCGTTCCCAGTCGATGCGTCTGAAGAAAGCTTGCTCTCTGATGTCCCGCTCACCTTCCAAGCTGCAGCCGAGGCGCTTTGATGGATGCTTGGTCATCAGCTTAGGACAAAACAAACGAGAAGAGGGTGATGAAAGAAATCTAGCTTGATGCTTCAAAATAATAATGACACAGATAATGAAAAAAGAGAGACAGGATAGGCTGTACATAAATAGAAGACAGATTGTAAATAGGCTTAATCGTTACAGGTAGCACTAATGTTTCACAGATCTAGTGACCTTTAATTCAAACCATGAAAGATTATTTGTAATCTTTCATGGAAATCTATTATGTCGGTCGTTCTCAGACGATGAAACATATCTTATCTGACGCATTGGGATTCAAAATAATAAAGCTTTGTTGTTCTAATTAAAACCTCCATCAGACTGCAGCCAGATGGCAATAGAACCATCAGCTGTTTAGGGATTAACTTTGAAAGCTCAGATGCTAATCAGTAAATTATCATAATAAATAAATCTGTTGACAGCTTCTTTGTGGAACTGCAACAAAAGTACAAAAAAATTAATTTTCAGGTTAACAAGGATCCTTAAATGAAGGGGTAATTACTTTTCCAATGAATTCCTGTAACAGAGCCAGCTTCTTAAGCTACGTTCCCACTGCAGGCCTTGTTGCTCAATGCCGATTTTTTTTTCTGAAATCGGATTTTTTTGCGTTGCTGTTCACATTTCCAAATATCTGTGACTTGTATGTGATCTCCTGTGTGAACTGCAGTCATACAACCTAAGGGTCCTGCATGCGCACTATAGGACGCAATGACGTCACAAGCAACCGTGCTCTGTGTTTACAAAAGTAAACATGGTAGTCCTGGAGCGCATCTAGAAATCTTTCCCAACTTTAAAAACACAATCTTTTCAAGATGGTTAAATATAAATACAACTCTCCGCATTATTGTCCACCATGGTTGTTGTTTTTCTTGCCACTTCTGCATAGCAAGACGCAGAATAGTGACCATTGTCAGGTATTAATGATGCTCAGGTCAGATGAATACCACCTGGCTGTTCAGACACAGGTCGCATTTAAAAAGATGTGATACGTATCGGATTCAGGACCTCATACCCAAGTGGCCTGGGTTGCATTGGAAAAAATTGGATCTGTGTTGTTCAGACTGCAACAAAAAGATCGGATACAGGTCGCATATGGGAAAAAAAACAGATTTGGGTCACTTCAGGCTGCAGTGTAAACGTAGCCTAAGCATATGTAAAGCTTTGCTTATCTCAATATAAAGAATATAGTTTTATTTTATATATAAAATTTCAATATCTGGATATTGTTTGAATATGGAAATTGCCCAATGGACACACAGAGGAACCAAAACATAAATACAGTGATCTAAATGTTTTCAAATGTTGTTAATTTGACATACAGACAAAAACATTTTCTGTTACCTTTTTAAAGAAGACAAAGACTCATTGTTTTAGTGCTTTACTCTGAGAAATTAAGTTATCTTTCTTCATTTGTACATTTACAAACTTTGTATGTATTTGAAGTGTAGCTTAATGCAGGCCTTTGACTATGATGAAAATTTTAAGTCTTTTCTAGGATTTTTAATTACTTGTTATGAAATTTCCTCTTAGTTCAAATGTAGTTTTTAATATAAAAGAAAAGCAAGATGGAATCAAGGTTAATCATTACTTTGGTTTCATTATTGGTGTCAAGCAGTGAATGTTTAAATTTTTATCTAACATATTTTCATCTAAATAATGTTAAGCTTCCAGAGCAAAACTCAGGAAGCGAATGTGACAGAGAGTAACTTATATTACCCTTCCTGGCAGGATCTGCTTTTTTAGCGTTCACTGTAGGTTAAAGTTCTTACATGCATCTTTGGCGTTTGACCATAATTTAGCCAATAAAATAAAAAGCTGAATTCAAACTGTGCCTATATGCAAGGCTCATGATGCAACCCTGCAGTGTCGCCGCTACAGACTGAGTTCAGTCCTCAGAAGATACAAGCTTCTCTTTAAAATGTTAGATGTTGTCTTGATATAACTTTTACATTTTCTTTCCTTCCTATATACAATGAATAATAGATTTAATGGAAAAGTCTGGTAAAAAAAAAAGAAGATAAATCTTCATCCCTGCTTTAAAAGCAACCACACATAATGTGTCCTTGCGAAGCCATTGCTTCGTCACAGTTTCGGGTTCCTCTTTGCTTTTTGAAACAGAGGTACAAAGGTTGTAATCAATTTAAATGAAAGCATCTTTATTTGTAGCTCTTAATTTGGCTCCTTTTAAGCAGCAAACAGACAGATAAATGCTGGCATGGACCAGACTGAAAAATGATGCTACTATGTTTTTACATCTTAAAACATTCAAAACTATTTTTAAAACAGTTTATCTTATAAATAGGACAGGGCGGAGCTTTTTAAGAGTAAATGTGGCTGATTAAAAAAAATATCCTCAGTTAAATATAAATAAAAAAGCCAAAAACAGTGTAAAGTGATGTCATTAACTTACTAATAAGGGGGAAAGTTATTCCGTCCAGAGCTGACCAAAGCTCAGTGAAACAGCACCACTAGAGTGAAAATTCATCTACATTGGTCAGCATTAAATGATGTTTAATAAATGTCATAGTTTAATGTCTGTTTGATGCTTGATGCTTTTTAAAAACATAGAGACATTTTACTGTATCTTATCTACAGTAATATACAAACACTGATGGATAAACTAGTTTTCATCTTTTGGAAATTAACATTTTATGGGTATTTAATTTACCTCCCTCTAAATTAAATAGATGTTCTTCCTCTAAAGAAAATCTTCTATTAGTCTACATATTTTTTAATTAATATTTTTTTCATGAAAAATTTGTTTCTACAAAACTGAGGTATGGACTTTATCTGCTGAGCCATATGCAACACTGAAAGTAAAAAAAGAAAAAAGAACACAGGATAGATTTGCTATTCTCTCCCACTCTCCAATGTTGCTAAATAGAGTGAGCCGCAAGGACACTACGCTCCAAAACATTGTCTCATACCTATCTCTACAAAATTAAAATTATGAAGCATCATGTCTAGTTACTGTTGTGTTTTGTCCAAATGTCATGAAGGAAATAAAAAAAAAAAAAAGTATGGAGGTGTGAATCTCTGGATGATTGTAAAGCTTCTGTTTTCAGGTTATGGGAGCAGTGTGTTGAAAATTACCTGTCAAAGTAAAACATCTCATGTCACACTACAAACTCTCTTATGTAGGAAGGTGTTAAATTCAACTTATTATTTTCTCAGTTTCTATTCCTTCCAGATGAAAACCAACAGCTGAGGTCATAGAGATGGTGCTCCTAACTCTTGCATGTCTGAACAGTTTTCAAGCAAACTCCACTCTGCTTCATCATCAGACCCTGCAGCTCTGCAACAGGACCAGACCTGTTTTATAACTATAACCTGGTGCCACTTTTGGAAGGTGACAGAGTGTTGCACATCCATAGAAGGAGGATAATTGGATTTAAAATTGCTCTTTGTCATCTGTTTTTCTCCTTATTTTTAGATGTAAGACAACTGCAACATTTAGAAGTATTGTGTATCTTTATAAGGAGGGTTGCTTGGATATAATCTAAAATCTGTTTCTTTTCATTGAATTAATCCGCTCTCCTTACCCCTTTGCAGATGGACACTGCCTCTTTAGACATGGACTTTGGGTAGGACACATTGTGCTCCATGATAGATTGAAAGAGCTCGTCCTCGTCCTCACCATCAAACGGAGGCTAGAAATTAACAGAAGTAGCGTTAGACAGTACCTGCAATGGTGACAATTTACAGCTTGTTATGCTCTTCACTCAGAGGTGAAGTTGAAGGTGACACTGCTGCGGCACCAGAGGTGTCAAAGCATCTAAGGCTCAAAACAAAAAAAATATCTATCTATCTATCTATCTATCTATCTATCTATCTATCTATCTATCTATCTATCTATCTATCTAT